GTGTGTGTGTGTGGCCAGCTCAGCCCACCAGGGGGCGGGGCTGGCTGGCATGTGGTGCTGGGGGATCGAACCGCGGTCCCTGTGCTTTGCCAAGGTTGTTTCAAGTAGGTGCCTTAGACCACTGAGCCATCTCTCCAGCCCAGCTTGCAGTTATCTTCTAAGGTTTCTGCATATGCTGCTGTTTTTAGAGCCATAAGAAATATTTCACCCTTTTATCTGCTGCATGCATCACTCTTCTAAGAAGAATGTTAATTTTTGTTTCATTGAAATTTTTAATTTACAGGAACTTTATTTGATGATAAAGGAGACAAGCATGCCAAGAAAGGAATTTGTATTTGGGAGTGTATTGACAAAATGCATAAGAGGAGTCCCATTTTCTTTAATTATTTATATTCACCAGTGGAAATAGAGGTAGAGTAAGAAACTATTTGTTTTCATTTTCTGAATATTTTGTGTGAAACTTTTTCTTAGTTCTATTGTATATAAGCTATTTAAGTTCTTTTTAAAATAAATATTTGAATAGATTTCATATCAAAAGTTTTTGAAAGTCTGAGATACTGTGTGTTTGGGTCATAAAGGAGATGAAGAAATTTTAAAATATTTTTAAAAAGAACTTTAACAGAGTTAAAGCAAAAGAAATTTAAAATAAGATCAAGGTTATTTAATTCTTGCCACAAAAATTAGAAGTTGGCCTCTAATTAGAACCAAGAAGGAATAATGTCAAGAAAATCAAAACAGAGTAGCTTTTTCTAGAACAAAGAGCTAATGAAACTTGAAATCACAGCAGGTAGTCCAAGTTGAAAAATCTACAACTCTGTAGAAAAGATTTCTTAAGGTCATCTGTGCAGTATCCAGGGAAGGACCTGTGTGGGAAGCAGGTGTTTGCAATCTAGATCAAGAAGGACAGCATAGGGGCTGGTGGGATGGCTCAGTGGTCTAAAGCACCTACTTAGAACAAACTTAGCAAAACACAGGGACCGCGGTTCAATCCCCCAGCACCACATGCCAGCCAGCCCTGCCCCCTGGTGGGCTGAGCTGGCCACACACACACACACACACACACAAATTAAATAAATAAATAAATAAATAAAATTTTAAAAAAAAAAGCATATATCAGGGAAAATGCTGCTCTTTCATGTACATCTACATAGCACAGGCTCTGAGATAGAACAAGTGGGTGAGATAAGCAATACCGCCTTTATTTAGGGATAAGAGAGTCCCTTCCCTGGGTCCCATGCATTAGAACCCCACCCTGGTCTTCCCCCAGAGGCACCCTCCTCAGAAGGTACAAGAAACTAAGGGCACGTGCTTAGATACCTCTCCTCACCTAACCTGTGCTCTGGATGCCTTGAGATTCTTTCTCCAAGTTGAAGCCATTCACCAGATTTTCTCTGTCTGCCTCCAAGCCAGTGTATGTGCCCTTAGGCCCAAAGGATAGCAAGATGTAGCGATTTGTCAGACAGTGGACAGTTCGGCTTTGTGGACTAAGTTATACACAAATATTCATACAAGGCCAGGGTGGGAGGAGGAGGTTAAGCCACAGACTGAGAGCTAGGGCAACTCCCTGAGGGCTACCACTTCCTAGGTTAGAAATCTGAGGAATCTAAGAATTTTTTTATTTGAACCTAGCCTTCCTGGTCATTAGGAGGTCATATTTGTCAAAGTAGGAGGACAGAACATGTTTTATTTATTTACATAATTTATAATACCCAAAGTGAGAGCAAATAAAATCTAATAAAAGACAAAAAAATCTAAAAAAAAATTAAAAAGGAACATTTTATTTAATACTTTATCTTGATCCATAACTTTTAGATATTTAGGTGAATGGTGTTTGAATATTCTAGCCCTGACCGAAAATGATAGGACCTGGTGTTTCAATAAGCGTTCAAGAGTTTTCTCTAAATAGGCCTTGAAGCCCAATGTAAATATCTCCAGCCTCAAGAAGTGGGATTACTACATAGAGGAAACACTGTCTTCAGGGCCTTCCTATGACTGGATGATGCTGACCCCCAAGCACTTCCCTTCTGAAGAGTCTGATCTAGCAGGAGGAGCTGGGCCCCACAGTCGGAGAAAGACGGTGTGGCCGTGCTATGATGATGTCAGCTGTACTCAGCCCGATGCTCTCACCAGCCTCCTTAGTGTAAGTCAGTCATGTGTGGAGACACACCTCTGGCATCCTGAGGGAACTTGGCTAAGACTGCTTGCGAACTTGGGACACACCTCTCTTATCCTCTGCTACTGTTACAGGTAGCACTTCTGGATCCTACAGAAACCAGGTTTACTCACATCTGTGGGGCACCAGGTTTAACTAGTGGAAAAGGGAAGCAGTTGAGCAAAGGAGCAGTTTACTCCTTTGGGCAACTTCTTAGCTGTTTTAGCTGTCCAAGCAGCCTGAGCCAAGCTGGGATATGGCTTTTGTGGGTGCTTTACTTCCACCGGTCAGAAATGTGGGTAGCTGATGGCCCGGTGGGACTACTGCCAGCCACCCTCTGCTAGGAATATTCTGGACCAAAGCCATCCTGGCAGTAGCAGCGTAAGGAACAATTGTGAGTCCTCATGTGGGCCAGATGGTTCCTGAAGAGTCCTGGCCCTCTGGTTTTCTAGCCAGAAAAGTATGCTGCAGTGACAGCACCATCCCACATCCCTGCCAGAAGGGAAATCCATCTCCATGGGCATTTCTTGGTTCATTCTTTCCACATCTGGTTTGAGTTACCAGAGTTGAAGAGCTTCTCTCAGGGGTAGAGTTCTCGTCTGCCTCAGCCATTAGAGTTGGAACACAGGCCAAATGCTTGACCTTTGCTTTAGCCATCAGATTTCCCATGGGCGGTCCTAGGGTGAAGGTGTTTGGGCTGCATATTTCATCTCTTACTGTTCAACCCATTCTGTACAAAAAGACTGATTACAGGTCCTACTCATCTTGCCATAGTGCATCACACAAGCTCATGCTCCCAGCACTGTTGCTGGGTTAGGAGACCTCTCGGGCCCCATATCTGTTGCTTTCTTCTTTTGCTGTTTTGCCATGCTGCTCATCTGAGCCCAGCACAAAGGAAGAATGACTGTGGGGCACATCCTGACTTCTGTAATATACTGATCTCTCGGAAAATTGCTTTTCATTTCAATGCAGGAAATTGAAAAACTGGAGCATAAATTGAACCAAACCCCTGAGAAGTGGCAGCAGCTATGGGAGAAGGTAACTGTGGACCTTAAGGAAGAGCCAAGAGCAGACCGTGTGAGTTAATACCACCCCCAGGAGCTACCTCTCTGCTTTCACTTCCAAGGGTGTTAGGTCAGATAGGGCCTACTTTTTAGGTCACAAGACCAAGGTAGGTTTATGGTGGGAAGGGAAAGGTTATGTCCTGGGGGTCCACGATAGAAAGTTCCAAATGACCAAGTACTTCCTGAGTGTCTCTCTTGCCACAGTGATACAGCATGTTTAGGGCACTGAATCCAGAGAAATTACTAGGTTCTTTCCTATCTCAGTGCCTCTGTGGTTTCAGCTCATCTTCTACCACATAAAGAGGAGTGTACTGGCAAGGCTCCATTTGTTCCAGAGTAATAAGCAGGGGGGAAATATATATATATATATATATATATATATATATATATATATATATATATATATATATATATATGTATGTATGTATGCCACTTTCTATCACTTCAACTCCCTTTGCTGCTTTTAAGAAGTATATCATAGAAATTTTAAAACAAATACATAATCTACTTTCCACTTCTCATAGCCCATTTCCTGTTTCAGATTTAGGAAACATTTATCAAATACAGAACATGTGAAGTAAAGTGTGCTTAGGGACAGACATGCTTTATTTACAGTGAGGGAATAGGGTCTCGTCTTATGCATGAGGGAACAGAGCAGAGATCTCACGGCCGGTGGTTGGTAGCATCACCATTTGAACCCATGTCACATTGGCCCCAAACACATCAGAAGGGAAATTAAAACAGATGAGTGTTTTGATAAGCATTTCAGGAAGGCGAGGTCAAGAGTGAGCAGAGTCTTTGGTAACCAGGGATATCTAGCCGCTGTCTCATGCCTCCAGTAGCAGCGCAGCTGTTCTCAGCACACAGGATACACGTAGGTGATGCCTTTATACTTGCCCCCAAAAAAGTAAAAATTTTAAAATTATTTTTCTGGTTATGAAAGTTGTGGGGCTGGGGATGTAGTTCAGCAGCACAGCACCTGCCTGGCAAGTGCAAGGTCCTGAGTTTGATTCCCCATACTACAAAAACAAAAGGAAGTAATGTAGACTTGGATGAGCCTGGTGGCACATACTTGTAATCCCAGCCCTCAAGAGGCTGAAACAGGAGGATCACTGTGAGTTTGAGACCAGCCTGGGCTACAAGTGAGTTCAAGGCCAGCCTGAACCTGTCTCAAAAAAACTAAAAAGTAATATAAATTTATTTTATAAAAAATAAGGTAGGGGGCCAGAGAGATAGCTCAGTGGATTAAGTGCTTGCCTGGCAAGTGCAAGGTCCTGAGTTTGATCCCTGGTACCACCAAAAAAAAAAAAAAAAAAAAGTAGGGAAGAATATATGCAGTGTATTATTTGTTGAAACTGTACTTTCGATTTGATTTGAAACTGTCTCATTGCTATATGTTTATCAATAAAACTTTGAAAAGAAAAAAAAAGAATACATGAATAAAAAAAAAAAAGGTAGGGGCTGGTGAGATGGCTCAGTGGTCTAAAGCACCTACTTAGAACAAGCTAAGCTAAGCAAAGCACAGGGACCGTGGTTCTATTCCCCAGCACCACATGTCGGCCAGCCCCGCCCCCTGGTGGGCTGAGCTGGCCACACACACTAAATAAAATTTTAAAAAAATAAATAAATAAGGTAACACACAGAAAGTTATAAAATTTATGAAAGTCATCCACAATTTATAACCTAGAAATAAATGACCATGCAGTCAAACTTGTTTTATCATTATAAACCCACATAATAGAGGGATTTACTGCACAAACCTTTCTTTTTGTTGGGGGGGAGGGTCTACAGGATGTTCAGGGTCTCATTTACAGCCTCCCAAGTGCTGGGAGTACAGGCGCACCACCACGCCCAGTCTCATTTGCTGTCTCAGCGCACCGGGGGCGGGGCTGGCACAGGGATCGAACCCCGGGCCTCTGTGCCTGCTTGCAGGTACTTTAATCCATTGAGCTATTTGGCCAGCCCTCAAACTATTTTTAAATATGTTTTTTAACTTACTGTTACCAGTTTGCCACCGTGTATAAATCAGCATTAGCATTTTGTGACTCTCTAGAATTCCATCGTCAAAAGTGACAAACTTTTTAACAGCTGCCTAATAATGCATATTTAGGTTGTTTCTAGTTTTTATTATAAAAACTACAAGATAAGTATCTTTGTACATATATCTTTTCTCGTCAATCTATTTTTTTCTATGAAATAAATTCATATATGTGCAATTGTCAGGTCAATTTCTTAAAGTCTTTCCTGTCTCCTGTTGTCTTTTTCAGTTCCAGAGACATCCTGTAGGGTCCCCAGGAATGGTGTCTGCCAACCCACCTTCCTATCAGAAGCGGCCTGCCCTGCGCCTGCCAGACAGCAGCCCGAGCGAGGAGCAGAGCACCAGCGTCTCGCCGTCCAATGGGGTGGAGCGGAGGGCAGCCACGCTGTACAGCCAGTACACGCCCAAGAGTGATGAGAACAGGTGTGCGCGGAGCACGATCCCCGGTTCCCCATGCTCCCCCCTCCCCGTCATCCCCCCCTTTTTCCCACACCAGTCCCAGGCCCCGAGGAAGCTCAGCCTGTGCAGGAAAGCCTTTAATAAACTGGAAGTGGATGTCCTTTTCTGTTTTGTATTTTTATATTTTTAGGACCAGATCCGCAGAGTCTCACTGTGTAGATCGGACTCATAGTGATCCACCTGTTTACAGCCTCCCAAGTGCTGGGATTATAGGCACGTGCCACCACAGCCAGTCTTGGGTGTCCTTTAAGTCTGAATTTTTTCTAAGTACTTCAATAGTTCTGTAATAAGAGGGAAAACATTCAATGTTGTAGCTAAAAGAGTGCCGAGATGTTATAGTCATTTATAGTTGACTCTTGATTGTGATTATCTCAGTTTGCTTTTGCATCTATACTTTTGAGGGCATGTATGTCAGTCAGTAGTTTTACAGTGACAGACATTAGAAATCCAGCTTGTGGGGCTGGAAAGATGGCTCAGTAGAATAAGCACTTCCCTGGCAAGCACAAGGGCCTGAGTTCAATCCCTGGTTCCGCCAAAAAAAAAAAAAAAAAAGTCCAACTTGTGCTAGCTGGAGCAAAAAGGAATTCACAGGCTGGTGAGATAACTCAGGAGTCTAAAGCGCCTGCTTAGGCAAGTGCAAGGACCGCAGTTAGATCCCCGGCACCACATGCTGCGCCAGCCGCACCCCCAGGGAGCCCTGAGCCAGCCACAACAACAAAAAGACTTCACTCAGACAAACTGGAACAGCCAAGGTTACCTGTTCTCACACAATGTCTTCATGCTTCTGTTTTGACTCTCCTTCTGTTTCTCCTTCTGTGTTTGCCAGTCCAAGCAGACGGTGGCCCCTAACAGTTTCTAACCTCACAAATGTGCTGGTCCCTAAGGAAAAAAGCAGTCTCCCCCAAAGATCTGGTAGCAAAACTTCAGGGAGGACTCAGGCATTTTTTTTTTTTTTTCTTCATTCTGCGGGAAATAGACTTGACAAAAATAACAGGCATCCCTCTAACAGCATTTTTAAAATGAAAATTCTGAAGTACCTGTTCTGTTGTCATTTCTTCCAGGTCCTTTGAGGGAACACTTTACAAAAGAGGGGCTCTGCTGAAAGGCTGGAAACCCCGTTGGTTCGTTTTGGATGTAACAAAGCATCAGGTAATTCTGTAAAAGCCTAAAGAAATCTCTTCTGTCGAGGCTGGCCTCAGTCTCTGCTGTTATGTGGCTGTCAGCAGATAGACACATTCCTCAGGTACAGGCTGTAGTCCTAGAGCCTTTAAGGACCCCAGATGTCCCTGAGCCTGAGCAGCAGACTTTAGAGAAAGTTCTGAAGTAGCCTCTGCCTGGTGGGTGAGATAGAGGCAGTGACAGTTGACTCCTGAGCACGCAGAGGCACAGGAGTCTTTCTGTTGCTCAAATCATTTCTGCTGCCTGGTCTCACAGCCAGGGCAGGAAGCACACCAGCACTTCAGCCCAGTACACACATAGTACTGCCATCTGTGTCCATGCCTGGGAGCACTCCCCAGAGTGCAGGCACAGAGGACACTGCTGTCCCACAAAGACAGCTGCAACATTAGAGGAGGACAGCACAGGAAGAAGGGGTGCTCCTGTCCAAACTTTGAACTCACATTGGGCAGGTGGTAGGCTGGGCCTGAGCGATTAGGAAATCTTACCCTGGTTCCATTCTTAGCTGTTGCACTAGCAACTTGATATTATCCTTAGTGTCATAATCTGTGCTTCACTAGCGCCAGGAAGTGATCCCTACCCCAGCCTCCCACTCCTTTTCACCTTTCGCCAGTGAGAGGTGCGTGGTCTCCCACACTCTGACCATGGATAGGTCAGCTGGAGGCCGCGGATCCGCCTGCTAATGCCCCATGCAGTCATGTGTACAGTGGAGGCTGCTTTTGCAGGGAATGTCTGGACTGTCCCTGTACAGGGCACGGAGGGAACCTGCATCTCGAGGACCCCTCCAGGGGAAGACTTCTAGGAGGCCACCCTTTCCCTTGCTCTAGGGATTCGATGAAGGTCATGGAGTCTTTGTGGGAGAATATTGAGAATTTATTTTAAGATATACAAACAAAATCCCTTTTAGGGAGCTTTACTTTAAAATAACAATCTCCGAAATCATAGAGGTTCTACTATGTAGAAAAGTTCCATCCAACCACTAAATATAATGTGGGAGAATGTCATAATTTTGCTGTAATTTAAAATTACATTAAATTATACTTGCATTCTTACCAACCTTTTGCATTTCTTTAACATAAGAGATACACAGTTTCCATTTATCCCTATTTATGCCAACCCTGAGGAGAGAGACAAGAGAAGCGTTCCAGGCCAGACCTGCCGTGATAAAAGCGCAAGACGCCTTCTTGCCTTGTACAGTACGCTGAAGTCCAAACTAGACCAATCAGGCTTTTCACCAGAGCTAACATTTTAAATACTTTTTTGTTTTCTTTTATTACAAAAGTAATGCATGGTTATTATACCAAATTTAGTAAACATCTAAAGGATCCTCCATGTAGTCAAATATTAAGCTGCTCTTTTTGTCCTCTCAACTCATAAGGGAGGCTGGGTGTGGTGGCACACACCTGTAATCCCAGCACGTGGGAGGCAGAGGCAGGAGCATCATTGCAAGTTTGAGACCAGTCTGGGCCATAAAGTGAGCTCAGGGGCAGCCTGAGCTGCACAGCGAGACCTTGTCTCAGAAAGACAAAACAAAAAACAATTCGTAACAGAGGTCTTCCATGCTCTTTTGGGAAAGCCACTTCATCGCTGTGCCAGGTCCCTCTCCCCAGCACTGATAACGCAGTTCTGAAGGGAACCCCTTTATTTCTACAGAACAACTTTCTAGAGAAGGAAAAACTGTTTCAGGCACATGCTTTCTTTTTCTGTGGTGCTGAAGGTTGAGCCAAAGGCCCAGCTTGTGTTGTGTCCACTTGTCCACTGAGCTGTATCTCCAGCCGCACACACATTCGTTTTAGTTGATACTGCTGGATTGTTCTCCAAAGGAATTTCCAACAAATTGTGTTCCCACAGCCTTTGTGAGTCCCTGAGGCCTTGCTGGGTAATATCAGCATTTTTTAATATTTCTCAATCTAACTGAAAAGTGAAATCTCATTAATTTCACTTACCTTACTCTGATCAGTGAGCTTGATCATCTACCCAGATGTTTAGAGACCACTGGCACTTCTTCCCTGACTTGCCTGTTGAGATCATTTGACCATTCTTCTACTAGAGTATTTGTCTTCCTAGCAATTTCTAGGAATTATATATATATATACATTAAAGATATATTTTACAGTGTTAGTGGACTGATTTTTATATGTAATTCATTTATTCAGATTTCAGAAGTCCGTAGTTTCTCCCCTACCTTCTTCCAGCCACCCAACCCTCTTACCTGGAGGTCGCCATGTGCTGATGTTCTGTGTATTCTTCTAGTCATTTGTTGGAGACACTTCCTGGACCTCGTCTCGGTCTAAGAGGCCAATATTTATAATCCCAAAGTCACGTTATTAGAATCCCATCAAGTTGATTCCACTTACAGTGCAACCCATGGCGAAAATAAAGACACTAAATTACATTTTCAATCACTGGGGAGTCAAGGGGCTCTAAGTCCAAACATGAAGATGGCTTTCAGGAACCAAGAGAGCGACCCAGGGCCTCACCCTGTTTTTATTCAGTGGGGGAGTGGCTTGAGGAGGATTGACTGAGAATTGTGGGAAATAGGTGATCATTTTGAGCTGAGCTAGGTGGGTGGCCTACATGTACCTAAGGCCAGTTGATAAACAGAAGTCCTAGCCAGCTCTGTACATAGGAAATAGGGTCAGGCTCAGTCCAGATGGAGACAGTCACTCTTCTTTCAAGAAGAGCTGCTCAGGTGGTCCTCCACAGTCATTAGCAAATATAAGCAAAATACAGATGAAAGCAATCAGATACGGTTCAGAGTGTCATGCTGTTTTCCATGTCTCTTATCTGGTCCTAGCTGCGATACTATGACTCAGGTGAAGACACAAACTGCAAAGGCCACATTGATCTGGCTGAAGTCGAAATGGTCATCCCCGCTGGCCCCAGCATGGGTGCCCCAAAGCACACAAGTGACAAGGCTTTCTTTGATGTAAGTTACGCCCTTCTTTGGTTCTGCCTGTATGTCATCCCATCCTGCTCCATGAATTACGGGGCCCTCAGAGCAGTGATCTGGCTAGGACAGGTGCTCCAGGAAAGGAAATCAGCACTCAGATCCCAAGCTTGATGTTGCTTAGCTAGCCATGCACCTGAGAACCATGTGTGGAAGCAACTAAAGTCCTGGTAAATGCTGTCAGTCACCTCAGCCACCAGCTGCCTTCAGGAATTGTGCTGCTTTCTCCATATCCAGTAATCCTCTGGCCTGACCCTCCACCAAAAAAAAAAAAATCCTTGGTTACACCTGATAATTGTCTGCCCTCACATCTTCAGCAGCCCCAAGGTGCCCTTGGGGCCTTTCATGATTCACACAGTAGGAAACATCTTTCATTCAGTCCATTGTGACCCTAGAGTCAAGCAGGACTTCATAAAGAGCAGAGGTTGTATTCCATGGTTCTGGACTTCCATTCTGGCCCTAAATGAAGAAGGAGGACACAAAATGACATGGAGAGAATAAATCTCCAGGTTTTCTTAAGAGCCTCCTCACCATACTGCACTGCGGCCACGGTGCCACCCACAGCTGGTCCTCCCCCATCAGAGGCAGTGGCCCGGGAAAATGCTGCTTTCCTCATGTGCCCCTTTCTCTGTGTGTCCCCTACTGGAAGTCAGGTGACTATAAAGGCAGTGATGTGTGGTAGGAGAGGGAAAGAAAATAGAGGTTCTAGGGTGGCGTGGAAAGAAAGGCCCCAGGTTCATATGCTGCTTCTCAAAGCCATCAGACAGCCTTGCCTCTCATCTCTGGTTCTCTGTCATTTGGTTTTGCAGCTCAAGACCAGCAAGCGTGTCTATAACTTCTGTGCCCAAGATGGGCAGAGTGCCCAGCAGTGGATGGACAGGATCCAGAGCTGTATCTCTGATGCCTGACACCGTGGACAACCCCAGAAGAAGAGGTGGGGAGAGAGTGCTGATCCTTGCGGAACAGACAGCACGTCACCCCAAGGCCTGAGGCTCTTTCGCTCATCTCACCCAGTCCCACTTGTTGCAGTTGCTGCATCTCCTTAACTGGCAAGGAGGGTACTGGTTAGAGCCCCAGGCCCTTCTTGTGTATAGCACTGAATTATTCTAACAGGGTCCCAGATTAGGGATCAGAAGAATGCTCCTGAACCTGCTGGCATCCATCCCTTAGCCAAAATGGCCCCCAGCTACTTGAGTATTTCTACATGAAGGTTCAGTTTGCTCTCGAAGGTCGTGATTTCCTTGGAGAGCTTTTTAGCAAGCAAAAATCAGAAGCCTCCAAAGATCATCTTACATTCTGCACAGAGTGGGTTTCCCATCTGAGGAAGCTGCTCTGACCTCTGAAATGTTCACTTGTCTGGTGCTGCCAAAAGGTGCTTCCCTGGTCCCTGCTCTGCTATTCACGAGAAACATTGCTGTGTGGTGGCAGGTAAAGAGGGACTGCACGAGATTATCCTGGTGGAAAAAGATTGCCCGGGGAATGATGTGATGCAGCGATCAGGCCGAAGCAAGGACACACTGCTTCCAAAACCCTGATTCCTATAGAATCAGGAGCTCCAGGACACAGGGCCTCGTGTCCCTACACGTGCTGCTCCCAACAGCTTGCTACACGACATAACTTGCAAAAAGCTGAATGCACTAACCAACAGAACACTTGCACTGAACTCCTAATCAAGATGCTAGACTGAAGCCAGCTACTTGTGACCGCACCCCTTTGATTAGGTCTCCCTGTGCCACGGCTGGACACCCAAGCGACACCTGCACCCACGAGCAGGGAGAGCTGCTCTTTGGTTCTCCTTACTGTTGATAGCCTGGCATTTGTCCAGCTAAGGCCTGAGGGTGCTGTTCACCCGCGATGAACAGGAACCACCGCTCTGCCGCAGTTACTGAAACAGCCAGGGCCCTCGCTGGTTAGATGCGTTCACTTTGAAATGTTAATATGTCAAATACCAAACTAATATTTCAAAAATATGTATATATGATTTCTATACCCTTGTTTTTCAGATTACCTGCTTATAATTTAATATAAAATTAAACCAATCTAGTCCTAAGATTTCAGTAATAAAAGTTCCCTTTTTAAAAACATAAACTACTTTGTAGACTAAAAATAAGCCAGATTTTCAAATTTAAAATTATCTACACATTAGGGAATAGAACTGTGTTAATATATAAGAAATCAGAGAATAATAAGAATGAAGGGCTTTTCTATCACATTCATTTTATAAATTTGCCACCTGTGAAAATGGTTTTTGCACATTATTTGTATTTTTCTTTGTATATGAAATAATTTTTTGTACTTTGTAAAATATGGAGCCCATTGTACTTTCCGCTATTTGAAACTGTACACAGTGCTTCTTTTGTAACTGGATTCTTTTAACTTTCATGAAGGCATTACCGGCCTTACATCCACTAACACCTTGAATTAAATTTATTTCTTAAGAAAATCCATCCCTTATGACTGTGAAGTAAAGCTCATTGTGCAGCTCACAGCCCCCAGAGCGTCACGTCCAGGAGTCACACACAGGACGGAAGCAGGATGCACCCTGGTCCTGCTAATGTCACTGCCTTTGCTGAGGAAGTATTAGGATGCTGAGCCTGTGGCCTGAACATCTGGGTCAGGCACGCATTTCTGTAGCGTTGAGGAAGATCCGAGCTTGAGGCTCTTGCCCCGGCTGCCTCTCGTAAGCTGTGTTGAGCAGGGTAGGTCCCTCAGCTCCTCTGTGTCACCTCTCCCGCGTACCACCTGCGTGCGTAGTGATTTGCAGATTTCGGGCGCGAGACACTGAAGTCTTGCTGGGAAGCCTCGGGGAGCTGTTGAGCAGCACAGACGCAAGACGTGATTTCCATTCTGGACAGCACTCTCTGGCTCGGCTTGGAGCTGAGGGCCTCGGGGCCGGACCTCAGAGGAGCCCTCTCCAAACAGGCACTGCTATCCTCCATGAGCCTCCGCTTTCCTGGGCTGAAGGGCACACATACCCAGCCCAGGAGCCCCAGGCCTCCTTCCTGAGGACTAGCCTTAGGACCTGCCAGTATGCCTTGGCTGTCCCTGAGATTCAGTCTGGAGGGAAGCAGCTGGTCTGGGGTTTGAGCGGGAGCTGGGTTTATGATGTCAGCATCATGAAGCTCTGCATTCCTCAGGTCGGAGTTAAAGGGAAGAACACTGGGTTCCAAGAAACCGTGACAAGCTGGACTCCTACAAGAACCTTTAGCGGGCCCCTCGCTACCCCTGCTCCTGTGACCGACGAGACGTAAGAGGATACTCCAGCAAGGTCCCGCTGGAGCCCGAGTTCTTTATCCCATCTCCCAAACCTTCTATCCTATAAACTGCTAGTGGCATGGCAGGCTTGCTTCTCAGCTGAAACTGACATTTTAAACATACTTCATGATTTATTTTAAGAGTTACTGGGTGACTTCATCATCCCATAAAGAGTTTCTGAAAGATCCCAAGCTGATAGCCAGGAAATGCCCTCAGCAGTGGCAAGCAAAGATTTTAATTAAGAACAGTATTGATGAAAAGATAGCATTTATAGCAGTGCTGTCAGACACAGTAGTGCAAGCTACATTTTTTTTTTTTTTTTTTTTTTTCAGAACTGGGGATTGAATTCAGGCCCTTGCGCTTGCTGGGCAAGCGCCTATTCTACTGAGCTATCTCCCCAGCCCCTTTAATGCATACAGGGTCTCACTACACAGCTTGGACCTGTAGTAATCTTCCTGTTTTCAGCCTCCCCAGCGCTGGGATTACAGGCATGGGCCACGATGCCCTGACTCTGGCTGGCTCAGCCCGCCCAGGGGCGGGGCTAGCGTGGCGTGTGGTGCTGGGGATTGAACTGCAGTCCCTCCACTTGCTTAAGCTTGCCTAAGTGGGTCCTTTAGACCACTGAGCTATCTTGCTGGCCCCATAATTTTTTTTAAAATAAAAAATAGGTAAAATGAATTCTACATTTAATGAATACATCGTTTAATTCATTACATCCAAAATACCATTTTAATAAGTAATACAAAAAAATTACTAAAGAAATATTTTATATTCCTTATTCATTCTAAGGCCTAAAAATCCAGTGTGTATTTCACACACAGAGAACATCTGAGTGTGGACTAATAGTGTGTCGGCTTTTCTTCAGACATTACTAAAATGCATGTCATATTACCAAGCAGATGTCATTTCGTTACCCCATGGCAATTCAGCGCTGTGATTCAGTGCTGACACTAACTGGGGACACAGACACACACACACACACACACACACACACACACACACACACACACCATGTACAGGGCTCAGTCCCTCCCACAAGCCCATCGTAATTCACCAGTTACAAGGGTTCCCGGCACTTCTGACCAGCCAGCTATAACTGGAGATTCTCCAGCCCCATTAGGTTCAGTAATTGCTAGAGCAAGTCCTGGACCTCGGGCAACACAGCTTCACCTTGCCAGTTTATTATAAGGGCTGTCGCTCAGTAACAGGCAGGTGGCTGAGCTGCGTGGAGCAGGAAGTGGGGCCACGGCACTCCACCTCCCCAGTACCTCGAACCAAAGTGCACCAGATCTGACTGTGAGAGCTTTTACAGCCCAACCTCCATTCGCCCATGGGCTCCTGAAGACAGGAGGGGCTGCAAGCTTGCGCCTTGCGTGGCCAACCCACCTGCTGAAGCTATCTGGGACTCTGCCCTGAATCACCACTTAGCATGGACGCAGGTGTGGTTAAAATAGGCAGGTAATGAATGACAAGACACTCCTGTGAGTCAGGAAATTCCAAGTCTTAGCAACTGTACGCCAGGAATTCAGAACAGACCAAATATGTTCTTTACTGTGCCACATATTTTCATGGCCATATGTGCTGTACATATACTTCTGTGTACCAACAGTTCCACTGCTAACATACTGGACAACACAGATTTAGCACAAGAGCCCAGAGCAGCACACGCGCATGCCTGGCAAGTGTAAGGTCCTGAGTTCGATTTCCAGTACCAAAAAAAGTTTTTTTGTTTTTTGTGCGGAACAGGATTGAACTCAGGCCCTTGTGCTTGCCAGGCAAGTGCTTATTCTACTGAGCTGTCTCCCTGGCCCACCCCCAAAAAAAGATTTAGCACAAGTAGACTGCTCACAGCAGAGCCAGGAAACAGGAGACCTGGGTTCCATTGCTGGTACCCTTAAAATTCACCAAGTGACCTTAGGGTACAGCTCAGTGGCAGATCAAAGAAGCCCTACTTTCAGTCGCCAGCTCCAACAACAGAAAAGATCCAGATGACGTCACTTTTCTTTGGCAAGGACTCAAGTTCCAAACAGATTTAAAGGATTTTCTGAATTAAAAAATCATCTGACTCAGTACTTCTCACATGGTAACCTACACATGAGTCGTCTTGTTGGAAGGAAGGGGGCACAGCTCAGCAGCAGAGAGGGGGTTGGCACGTACAAGGCACTGTGTTGAATCCATGTCATCAAAGTATAAATAAAGAGGGTTCTTGACTGAGTAGCTAAGGCATGGGCCTTGACCTTCTGTGTCTCTAATAATCCAGTTGACGCTTTTGCAGCTGGTCCTAGAAGCACTCGGATAGAAACAGGCGTGTTAGTCTCCATCCTCTGAAGCAGGTGCCAAGGAAGTCAGGAGGCTGGAAGAGCAGAGAGACCACAGTGTAGATGTGGCCCTGGCCCATCCTCTGGGATGCAGACCTATTCTGAGCAGCACCCGACGGCCTGCCCCACCTAAGCTGTCCCCCTAAGGAGCGGTGCCTGTTGGGGCTCATCGGACACTCAGGGGCAGGAGATCACAAGGGCGGTGGAATGTGGGTGTTGCCTCAGGCCCTCATTGGGCTTTAACTGTATGGCTTTCTGCCGCCACCCTGCACGTGAACCTTCATGCCCGTTCCAGTGAGTCACTTGGCTCACTGCTTGCCTCTCCTGTGTTGGGGCCTTCCTGGTGGGCCCTGAAGTGTGGCACAAAGACCGGCACACACCGTGCTCGCTCTGCCTGCCATGTCCAGCCACACACCTCACCTCACTCCTGCGCTCTTCCAGCCTTCCAGACTGGGACCAACCCCAGGCCGTTGGCCACTGCCTCGGATGTGCAATCTACAGAAAGAAGAGGCCCGCTTGGCTCACAGCCTTACAGGTTTCACCCACTTGATCTATTGCTCCCACTGAAGGACCAGAGAAAAGGAAGGGGCTGAGGTCTACACCGTCCCTCTCAGGGCATACCACACCCTCAGTGCCCTTAAAGACCTCCCTCTAGGGGGGCTGGAGAGATGGCTCAGTGGTCTAAAGCACCTACTTGGAACAAGCTTGGCAAAGCACAGGGACCACGGTTCAGTCCCCCAGCAACACATGCCAGCCAGCCGCGCCCCCTGGTGGGCTGAGCTGGCCACACACATACACATACACACACACACACACACACACACACACACACATACACACACACACAATAAATGTTAAAGTAAAAAAAAAAAAAAAAGACCTCCCTCTGGGCCGGCCTCTTAGGGATTCCTCCACCTTCCAAAGGTGCTACCTGGGGGCCGAGCCCTGAACACACTGGAGGAAGGCCTGAGGGCAAAGCATAGCCACATGGCAGCTTCTCCAAAAGACTGCTGTACTCATGCATTTCTTTTGGTTTTATTTTTTTGAGACAAGGTCTCCCTATGTGGTTCTGTCTAGCCTTGAACTCACTTTTTTTTTTTAATATTTATTTATTTATTTATTTTGTGTGTGTGTGTGTGTGTGTGTGGCCAGTTCAGCCCACCAGGGGGCAGGGCTGGCTGGCATGTGGTGCTGGGGATTGAACTGCGGTCCCTGTGTTTTTGCTTAGCTTGTTCTAAGTAGGTGCTTTAGACCACTGAGCCATCTCACCAGCCCTTGAACTCACTTTGTAGCCCAGGCTGGCCTCAAACTTGCAGCCATCGTCCTGCTCCAGCCTCCAGAGTGCTGGGATTTCAGGCCTGCGCCTCCACGCCCAGCTGTGATCACGCTTTGAGCTCCAGGTGTTAACTGAGGTCACTCAAACCATGCCTGCTAGTCCTTGGCATGTCAGCCTCCCTTTCTCTACAAATGGCTAGAGGACCCTTTAGGAAGAAACGGAAGCATGGAAGCAGTCGTCATGACAAATACATGACCCCCTAAGCAAGACAGGAGGCGTTTTCACAGAATCTGCTTCCAGCCCCTCCATTTCTGCCTTGGTTGTGGTTGTAATATTAAGCACAGCTTTACTGGTGGAGCTTGTCCCCAGGAACACTGGACCAGCAAAGTCCGGGGCTTTGAGCAGGCCAACCCCAGCCCGCCCTCTGTCTCACAGTCACTGCAGACCTTGCAGGCTCCTTTTCCACAGGGCACCCGTCTTCCTTTCTTCCTTCCTTCTTTCTTTCCTTCCTTCCTTCCTTCTTTCCTCCCTCCCTCCTTCTCTCCCTCCCTCCCCTCATCCCTCTCTCTCTCTCTCTCTCAGTGCTGGGTTGGAATCCAGGGCCATGAGCTACACTCTCACCTTGCTTTTTTTCCTTCTCCATCACTCACCAGGGAAGTCAGCTGTTTTCTGTGCACTGGGTGGGGGCCACACACTTCTAGGCCACCTGAGCAGTCACTGCTTCCTCCCCTGGCTCTAAATTTCAAGTCCCCAGAAGGTGCCCTTGAAGTGGCTGAGCTGGCCTGGCTCTGCCGAGCTCTCGCAGAACCCCAGGAGTACTCAGACCCTTGCACTTGCCAGGCAAGCGCTTATTCTACTGAGCCATCTCCCCAGCCCCTCCCCCCAATCTTGCCTCTGCTTCGGGCCCATCCCCAGCCTGATCTGGAATTCACCCCAAATCACTGTCCTTGGCAGGCAAAAGCAGAAGCGGGGGCAGCACAACGCAGGCACTTGTGGCCTCCAGAGTGAGGCCACAGCAGACATCTCAGCACAGGGAAGGCATCAGGAAGGTGGCTGCCCCTGCAGCTCAGAGGGCCAGCGAGGCTGCAGTGAGAGTGTCCTTGGGGGTGTCCACCCAGGTGTCTTCACCCTAGTTCAGAGTTCCGGATCTCTCCCCTTCCCCTGAGGACCTTCACAATGTGCTCTACAGTCTCAGCCCTTTTTTATTTTGAAATAGGTTCTCACGAAGTCACTACATTGCCCAGGCTGGGCCTAAACTCTCAACCCTCCTGCCTCAGCTTCCCAGAGGGCTGGGTCTGCAGGCCGGCTCAGCCACGGGCCTGGCTGAGTTCTGTTCCTCTTAAGAGTGGAGATGCCTCAGGCACCGGCTGAGAGCAACCCACAGCCACAGCGTAAGCAGGGTGGGGAGAGAGCAGCGGGGCCACAGGCAGCAGTGACCCCCTCAGCCTGGCATCTGGGAGACTTCTGTGGCCCCACCAAGGTTCTAGGTAGGACTGGTCGCTGTAGCTGTAGGCCAAGAGGAACAAGACCACTGCGCTTTCTCCCTGAGGTCAGCAGATGCG